CCAACATGAAGTAAGTTTCCATGTGTGTGTGGAGCCCTTAACAAACCAGCAGCTCAAAGAGCTTTTTGATTTCTACCGTTTGGAAATAAACAGCAATTAACGGGCCTAAAGATTCTGGTACAGGGCTGGTTGTTTGTTTCAGGATCACAACGAAGCCTTCTGTATGCTGATAAATCTCATGTGCAATGCTGTTTTGTCAAAATTAGTTTACTGCGGGACTATGGCCCTGGAAGAAGTGCGTTTGCGGGTTTTAGTTGGGATCTGGTCTGATCTGAATGCAAACGTGTATTATTTGAAAAATTTACAATAGTTTTCAACAAGAAAACTTCACACTTACATGTTTGTCTGCCTTCAGCTTAGCTCTTTAACTCCACTTGTTAATGTCTGGAATATTTCTATAAGGATGAAGAGATTTAGATGTATTATTGTGCAGGTCGGTGAAACATAAGGGGTTAAAATCTGCATAAACAATGAATAAAACAATTCCAAAGCACTGTAACTACTTACTGAAATTAAATTACTTGTCACTCAAAGAGTAAGGGATTACTTTTATTTTTAGGAAATATATTTATTACTTGCCTTAAATGAGTTGTCAAAAGAGTTTTGAATCAAATACTTCAGTTTTATGCATTAACTCTAATGTTAGAAACAATACTAAACACTTCACTGTTGTTTTCTGCTCGCGGCGTTGAACTTTCTACACCGTAATCTTCTGTTTACTTTGAAGACAGATGAAAAGTGATAGCTGGATAGAAGGAGGGAGATGGCAAGGTGGACTTGACTTTTGACTTCGCTAGCCCCATCTTACATAAAGAACACAATGAATCCATTCACTTCTCTCCAGGGAAGAGGGAGAGAGTCTGAGAGAAACGAGAGAAGTAAATACAGAGAAGTGGAGAGCGAGATAAAAAGAAAGGCTTCGTAGATGCCTGTGGATTTCTGAGAAACTAGTGGGCTTGTCCAAGAAGGTGTCTTAAAGGCACAATATTTACGATTTTTGCACGTACACTGCCAAAAAAAAGCAAGAACAATGTTGTTATTGTTGACATGTACTTGCATTAAGTCATGAGCTGTCTTGTATCACCTGTTAATGGGTCATACAGCCAAATTAAACACAGTTGCGCATCCTAAAGAAATAGTACAGTATGTGTAATACATAGCAAACTATGTAAAACAAAACAAAAGTTGCATTTTGAGCACAGATTCTTTTTTTCTTGTACGTCCATGTTTTAGATTTCTGTTGACCTTATTATAAATGTATTTATAATTAAAGGAAATTAAAGGTACGACATAATAATCTTAACTCTTGTGTTGTCCTGGAATTCTGTATACACGGTTTGCCCTTCAAGTCAAAAATGGTCACCTTCACAAAACCTTAAAATTTTGATCCTGAAATCTTGTTTGGATGAAGAAAAAACTTCCTCTTCATCCCAAACTTTGTGAATGTCTAGGTATTCTTTTATTAGTGAGTAGTTTTATTCATGTTTAATCGGCGGTCAACCCTTGTTTTTGACTAAAGCAAAGGGCATATTTTCTAATGTTAAAGGTAGATTTTAGGAAGACATAAAAGTTAAATCAGCAGATTATTATTGTGTGTGTGCTGTAGTGTGTAGTGTGCCAGTAGTGTTTGTGGGGAAAAATGCTTTTATAGCTGGTGGGTCAAATTGACCCAAAAGACAACCATTGTCCCCTAAACTACCTGACAAAAGTCTTGTCGCCTATCCAAGTTTTAGGACAACAATTAATAACTTGACTTTTAGTTGATTATTTGGTATCATAAGTGGTTTATGTGAAAGGCGAAGGCCTCTAGATTACGCTTGTTTTACCAAAATAAAATATGATCATGCCCTGATTTTTTTAAATTATTTAATTAGGACAGTAAGGTCTGACTTTGCTTAGACAAAAGTCTTGTCACGTAACAGAAATAATGTACAGTATAGAATATAAAGTCATGCTGCAGAGGAAAAAGAATTGATATTGTGTCTGACTCATATGAGCTTGGTGGACTGCATCCATACATCTCTGCAATGACTCAAATAACTGATTAATAAAGTCATCTGGAATGCCAAAGAAAGTGTTCTTGCAGGACTCCCAGTTCATCAAGATTCTTTGGATTCATCTTCAACGCCTCCTTCATCTTACCCCAGACATGCTCAATAATTTTTATGTCTGGTGACTGGGCTGGCCAATCCTGGAGCACCAAGACCTTCTTTGCTTTCAGAAACTTTGGTACGGAGGCTAAAGTATGAGAAGGAGCGCTATCCTGCTGATGAATTTGCCCTCTCCTGTGGTTTGTAATGTAACGGGCAGCACAAATGTTTTAATGCCTCAGGCTGTTGATGTTGCCATCCACTCTGCAGATCTCTCGCACGCCGCCATACTGAATGTAACCCCAAACCATGATTTTTCCTTCACCTAACGTGACTGATTTCTGTGAGGATCTTTATTATTTGTTGCTCTTTCAACTTGAATCAATTACAAGACTTTTGTCAGGTAGTATAAAATTTGTAGAGCTTTCATAAAAATATTAAAATAGAAAATGGTTCATTTTTCTAATGCTGTGGTCATTTTATAAAAAGTCACTAAACTTTGTTTAGTTTTTTTTCTGCTGTTAAAAGCAGATTTTTGACCTGTAAGACAACAGGAAGGCAAAAGGTTTCATAGGCCATATGAAGATAACAGCAACGTTTTGGTCACAACATAGCCCTTTTAAACACCTGATTAAACTGTTTTTGTTGTCTTTTTTTCATCTTAAACTGTGCAGAATATTTTTTCACATTGTTTTGCCAAGTTACAATAAAAATGAAGCTAACTGAAATTTTTTTTTACTTTTTATTATATCAAAATTACTGAAACTAAGATCAAAACAAAACTTAAAATATTAAAAGGTCAGTTAGTCCACCAAAAATGAATTCTGCAATTAATTGCTAACCCCCCTAATGTTTTTAACCCCTGAGACCTTCATCAGAGTTCAGAATTCATCTTCAGAAGACAAATCAAGATATTTCAGTTATTTAACCGTAATCATCAGAAGTTGCTAGAACACTTTTGTGCACCAAAAAAAACTGTAAAAACAATTTTGTTCATTTCTTTCATGACAGGTCAGGGTTTGCAAATATTTATTAATATTTATCCTCATTAAGTCTGGTTTATATTTGGCGCGTCTACTAGTGCACTTGAGTGCACACAGCAAATGTGACGTCATCGCTGTGTTTGCGGAGGTTCGCTGTACAACTGTACAGACATCTTTATGATCAGTCCGGGCGTGATCATATAGGGAGAACCAGATGACAAATAATTCTTGGCTTGAATTTGCAACAGCAGTGGGAAAGGAGGAAAGTTTTTGTAAAAGTTTGGAAAAACCTGAGGGATAAGTTTGCTAAAGCCAAAAAAAGGGGCCATGGCAAAAGTGAAGACCCCGGTGGTTTTAATACACAATTACAGAAATATGTTTAGTTTTCACCTTTCATTTTGAATTTAAAACTATTTAATAGCTACAAAACTATATTTAAGAAACAAATTATTTCTTTGATGACTTGGAAGGAATATTTGAACCTATCGGTTTACATTATACTGATGCCCTGTTTTTCTAGGCTTTTTTGGTGATAATGGCCAGGAATGTTTGGCCATTATTGCCTTTTTAGCATATAAGTAGAGGACAGAAACTAGTCAGACAGTAATGTGTCAATTGTGAAGCGGGCTTAATCTAAAAAAAAAAGTAAATTTTTTAGTAAGTGTACTTTTAATGCGTGTCATTAACATTTTAATAAACTTTAATAGGTAAAACTGTCCGAGATATGAACATTCTGATAAAGATCATTAAAATAATTCAGAAAAATTATTAAAATAATCAGTCACCATCTTCAAAATATTAATGATATGACGTTGTTCCGGAAACCTCATTCTTATCTTTTTATCCGTCTGACTTACGGTCAGTTTCTTTTGACCGCCCCCTGTTGTTTTAAAGAATATCTCAATGGCAGACATGTCAAGTATAAAAGCCTGGTCCATTTCATGAGGTGCGTGCACAGTCAGCGGAGGTCCACGAGAGTTAGCAGCACAACACACAAGCATCCTACTGTAAAAAAAAACACACAACCAGATCTGATAGGAAAGATATAGTAAGCAAATATGCTGTACCATTTTTTTTTTTTTTTTTGTGCATAAAAGTGTTCTTGGAGCTTCGTATGGTAACAGTTGAAACATTGAAGATACATGAAATGTCTTGACATGTTTTTGGTTCCTTTTCCGAACATTGAATTTCTCAGACCATTGCTGTTTGTTGGGGATGAGAGAGCTCAGATTCCACCTAAAATATCCTTATTTGTGTTCAGAAGATGAACAATGTTCTTAGGCGATTGGAATAACATGAGTGAGTAATTAACCCTTGTGTGCTGTTGGGGATGTTTTCATCCACTCTGGGGTGATTGTGAATCTGGCCAAAACCTTCACTGTTTCAGCAATTGGAATGAGTTTTGGGGACAAATCTTTTTTTGACATTGAAATAAAAATAAAAAAAACAAGAAAACACTTTTTAAACAAATTTACTACCCTTTCGTTATGTTGGTGGCTGTTCTGCCACATTGACTTCCCATTATAATGACATTTTTGTTTGCAAAGCCATGACAGCATATAATCATGCACTCTTGATTGTTGCTGGTTTTCCGTGTTGGAAAGAGGTCCATTTTTTATTTATTTTTTTTGCGCTGATGATCATCAGTTGGCAGCCTAAAAACTTTTAATAAGTTTCTTTTATATGGCTTTGTCATGGCTTCGCAATCACAAAATGTCATTATAATGGAAGTCAATGGGGCAAAAACAGCCACCTACATAACAAAAAGGGAGTCAATCTAAACAGTACACAAGGGCTAATGACAGAATTAGCATTTTTGGGTGAACTAATTCTATAATAAATACTATTTAAATAATACTGAAATATCAGTGGCTGAAAGTTGTCCATATTATCTGTAATTTAGTAACTGATATTGTGCCCTGTCCAGATGGAGAAGCCGCCATTGCCCAGTGATGAGAATGGAAGTGTGTTGACGGAGAGCCGGTCAGACATGGCTCTGGTGTCTGCAGATGATGAAGGGTCTGCGGGCGCTGATGGCCAAGAGGACGACAGGCCAGCATGGGACAGTAAACTGCAGTATGTTCTTGCTCAGGTGGGCTTTAGCGTTGGATTGGGCAATGTCTGGAGATTCCCTTATCTGTGCCACCAAAATGGAGGAGGTAAGTAGTTTTTCATTGCACGTGTTAGTCTGTGAGAAATTAGCCATGTTTCCATTCAACTATATTTCAGCACATTTTGGATTATTGAATTATCATGCCCACAACTTGGTAGTATAAACTTTTTATCTGATAAGAAAAAATATTTATAAACTATGATGGATTTATTAACGCATGATCATATGATGGTTTTAACAGATCATGTTATAACAAAAATCAGAGAGGGCATTAAAGGACAAACCAGCACATTTTAAAGCATCTGAAATATTTTGGTTATTCTAAAATCCCTCAGCCAAAGTCATTCAAAGTGGTTCAATATCACTACCTCCAGAATTGTTTTGAATGTTTGTGCTCCTAAAGAGCGTCTCACACCTCCAAAAGCCTCCGCATATTCTCTGATTTTCATCCTCGTATTCTGAGGTGCCAGTAATTTATTATATAAATGGCCCACAGTGGCTTCTCCTACATCAGAAAACTCTTTTTCTTTTTGATATTTGATGCCAGTTTATCAGGATTTAATGATTTTGTTCTTTTTCATTCATTGGATGAAAACACTGCTTTATTCGCAAATGTTTTATGCAATATTCCAGTATTGAACATGTCTGAATCGTTTCTTTTTTGATGGAAATATAGCTATTTAGGGTTCTGAAGTCTAATACTCCCTTGCTCTTTCTCTCTCTCTCTTATAAGGGGATTTCCCTCCTAACTTTTTTACAGTAGTAGATTTGTTCTTTAAAGAGTGGTTTTATGCAGATACCTTTTCCTAATTTGAGTGTATCACCTGAAATACAGTATGCTCAAAGGACGGTCAGGGTGAAAAATTGTAAATTTAGAACGATTAAAAAGGAAAACAATGGGGGAAAAGAGACGCGTATCAGGTTTGTGTAAAAACTGCTTATTTTGAAGATCTTGATTATAGATGTGCAGTGCTTCCCACAGGTTTTAAATATACTTGCTGTGGTAGCCAAATTGAAACACATTTACTTAAATAACGTAACTTTTATTCTTATAATTTTTTTAGGGGTTTTCACCTTTAATGATAGGACAGTGGAGATTAGAGACAGGAAGGTGTGGGGAGCAGAGATAGGGAAAGGATGGGCAAAAGACCTCAAGCTGGGAATCGAACTTGGGTCGCCACGAGCACCTCAGTGCTATGTGTCAATGCACTAACCACTAACCAATGCCGATTTAAATAACATAACATAAATAGTTAACTATGTGCGACAAAACTTAACTTTTAACAATAATTTTGTTTATACTGTTATACACTGTTTCTTTTCAATGGGTTAAAAGTAAAAAAAGACATCCACTATTTCTCTTACTTTTATGCTATTCAGGAGCCATGTGCACCCACTGACTGACCAAATGTGCTTCTCTCTTTCTTTCAAGTTCAAAGCAAACTTGAATGCGAAAGCATTTTAGATATGTATATTAAATAGCCTCTGTAATATATCAACATCATCAAATTAATAAAATAATCAGCAAATGAGAAATAAATTACAGAAAAAGGAATGAAAACAGACAATTTCTCTAAAAAATAGAATTATAAGATTAAAATCTGTAGGTTATTTAAATAAGTCAAATGCTTTAACCATTACTAATGGTGTACATGTAGACTATTTTGCAGGCTATTTTTGCACTATTTTTGCAGTTTGTGAAGCCAGGCTAGTTAAAAAGGTGATGCGAAAACGCATACAATTAACACCAGCTTTGGAAAGTGAAAGCAAAAGTAGAAACTCGGACAAAGTACCAAAAAGGCGCGTCTCTGTGTGCCTGCAGAGCATGTGAGACTGTTTGTGGAAGTGTTGACAGGTCTCGTGCACACAGAACCAAACGGGTAAACTAGAGATTTTTCACTGTTTAATCGATCACGGATGTTTGGTTATTGTGTGGATACCAAAAAGAAATGTAAAGGATGTTCATAACAATAAAAAAAAAGTGTTACCTAATATACTTGGGGGGCTGTCAATATACCTGGGTGGCCTGCGCAAGTAAAGTCTATGTGTGGGAAACATTAGATGTGACGCAAAATGGAAGGAAAAAACTGTGGATTGCAGAGTATGTTCATCATTTTTGGAAGATTGTTATTTAAAAAGTCCCTTTACAAATCGTTCAGGTGATTTACAGTGGAAAATATGGCATTGTGTGTTAGCAACAAATGGTTTGTCCCCAAATTTATTCCAAAAATTTCCCCTTCTTGTTATTTCTGTAATTGTACTGGAACTGTTTTTCATGATTGGTGTCACCTTTTACAATGCTTGAAAGGATTACTGAATAAATGAGCTTTAGTTTGTTTAATAAAACAGCTTTTACTTATGAAAGTAAATATTCCTAGGAAATAAGGAACGATGACCTTTTTTAATTTTATATTTGGTTGAGCAAACTTAGCCATTTGGAGCACTTGCAGATTTGCTCCTGAAGGGCAGATTGTAGATGTTCTTTATTTGTTTACAGCACAAGTTAAAGGAAAAAAAATAAAGAAAAAGTATAGAATAGGCATTTTTTTAAATGACAGAAGACATAGATTCTTGTGTAAATGTGTGTGAACAATAATAGTTCCTTATTATTTAATAGGAGATTCATCTGAAATGCTTTATTTTAATGTTGTGTGTAACTTAATGGTTCATAAAAGCTTTTCTAAACCTCTGTCTCGCTCCAGGTGCATTTATGCTACTATATGTGATGCTGCTGTTGATAATCGGGGTACCTCTGTTCTTCATGGAGCTGGCAGCTGGGCAGAGCATCCGGCAGGGCAGCATCGGGGTCTGGAAACACATATCACCTCGTCTCGCCGGCATCGGTTACTCCAGCTGCATGGTAAAACAAACATGTTCATAAACTCTACATGAGTATAACATATGGTTGAAGACATAAGTATTAGCCCTCCTGTGCAATTTTCAATCTTCAATGTTCACATATTTCCCAAGTGATGCTGAAATGGAGTTGTCAACACATTTTAAACACGGTAGTTTTATTAACTAATTTATAATAACTGTTTTTTTTTTGTCTTTGCCATGATGAGAGTAGATAATGTTTTACTAGATGTTTTTAAAGATACAAGTGTTCAGCCTAAAATGCAATTTAAAGGCTTAACTAGTTTAATTAGGTTAACTAGGCAAGTCATTGGACATCATTGATTTGTTCTATAGCCATTCATAAAATAAAAATGTCTAAAGAGGGCTAACAAATTGCACTTTTTAAAGGGTTTTAAAAATGTTTTTTAATATATATCTTTTTCATTCCTGACAAACCAAAATAAAAGACTTTCTTCAGAAGAAAAACACAATAGGACATGTGTGAAAAAATGTCCTTGCTCCATTAAACAGCACTTGGGAAATAGTCTTCACAATATGACTAAAATTGTATTTAAAGATATCTGCAAGTGCTTTAAAATGCACAGCTAGGGTGGGTTTAGTAAGAGTGGGGCATACAGTAGCCCCTCCCCTTAAAAAAAAACAGCCAGAAGTGTTTCAATAACATCACAGCTCTGCCAGTCAGTGGAGCTGGATACACGGAGGGTTTCAGAGGAACTGGAGAAGCCAGCAAATATTTATTCAGATTATTTAAATCTTGAGCAAGCAGTCTCGTTGGTTGCAGAATCAGACCAATCAGATCGCGATGTAGTAATGATGTTATTGCTTGCAGACTCCATGTAAATGATCTATCAGACTGCTCCATTGAAGGTTTCATGACTTAATTCAGCCTTCTGCATTTAAGCAAAAACTCAAACAGGCATGCCTTTTATTGGCAAAACTTAAACATTCATTCATTTTCTTTTCGGCTGAGTGCTTTTAATAATCAGGGATCGCCACAGCGGAATGAACCACTAACTTATCCAGCATATGTTTTACACAGCGAATGCCCTTCCAGCTGCAACCCAACACTGGGAAGCACCCATACACTCATTCACGCACATACACTACAGACAATTTAGCTTGCCCAATTCAGAGGGGGAAACGGGAGCACCCGAAGGAAACCCACGTGAACATGGGGAGAACATGCTTACTCCACACAGAATTAAACACACGTTGCCCGACGTTAAAATTGTAACTATATATATTTTTAATATATAAATTTTGGCACCAAGGAGCTTTCCCCCTCTTATTTTCCGACCCTTCGCTAAGCCCCGCCCTCCTTAGTTATTGTTGCTACGCCTGTCAAGCTTTCATGCCTGCAACGTCTAATACAATGTCATTGCGCCGGTGTCAGACATTGCTAGGGATATATAATTAGTCAGTTTTGGCAAACAGGTGAGATATCCGAGAAAGCCAGACAAAAAAGCATTGCAGTATGAATTACAGGGGTATGTTCACAACATCAAAATAGAAGCTAGGTTAGGCTAGCCACCTCATAGACTGACCATTCAACAGCTTAGCTCATGCACAGCAGGAGAGGTGAAATTTTAAATAATCTAATAATAACTAATTAAACCGTGATTTCTCTATTTTTAGCCAAAAAGCCTGATAGATTAATTGTTGTGCAATGAAATAAAGCATTACTAACCGATGAGGAAACACGCATGGACAGTGCTTCGACATCATTTTTTCATAGAAAGAACCGCCAGAAAGGCGAAATTGATGTATTTGTGCCGAATATTAGCATCATTGACCAATACCAATGTACACCTATCGCTGTCTGTACATATCATTGTGTGATTTTATACAATTTCTATTTAAATTTGCAGTTAAGTGGAAGAAATAAATCAATAAATTTAATGCAAATTAAAGTATGAATAGCAGAAGTGAACAAATAGATTTTCCCTACCTGCAAATATTAATCTGACACCACAGATAAAAGGAGACTCTAACCCGCAATAACATCGTCACCCATGAATAAATCTCCAAAAGATGGACGAAAACATCAATGATTTGTAGCTCTGACATGGACATCGAGGCTTATAAATGACTCAAAAACTGTTCGAATGAAGTATATGTGATCATATCTCTGTTTTGTTCTGTTGATATGTAATTTCAAATATTCGTAGCCTGAAACAGATGGAAATATGACTGCTATCAGTATGACTACTATGGCGAAGGCTTAAATGGAGCAGTGCTCAAAATATCGAGCGAAAAAAGAAAAAGACCGCTGGGAAACATAACCTGCTTCGTGTTTTTGTAGGAAACGCAGTTTAGATCTGTTTAGGGTAAGAGGTGTGTGAGTTATTGCCGTCTATCACTGAATGTGTCAGAAATATCGAAAACAAAACCAACTTAACACCGCCCCTCACACAGCTTGATCCACGCTGGCATTTCTCTCCTTGGGTTTTAGATTTTGAAAAGAAAAAAAATTCCACCACCCCATCCAAACTTTTAGGATACCAGGTATCAGATTTTCACAATCCATATGCACAGTGCTTTGGCTCGTTTCTGTCACATAACCAGCGATCGCTATCAAGAGATCGCTGGTTCTCACACGAACTCTCAGGACTACACTTTCGCATTCCCCAGGACTACACATTCACACATGCACTTCTCCCAGACACGCATGCCTGCTCATTCATCTACCCTGATTACAATCACCAGCTGCACCTTGTCAGAGACTGATACAAACCATTCATAAGCCACTCTTTCACCCTTCCAGTTTGCAGTCTTGTTTACCCAGTGTGACATTACAACGCGTTTCCCTGTCTTGTTTCTCCGTGCTTGAACCTAGCCTTGTATCCTTGTCATCCTGTATAGCCGCCTGCCTTTCGACCTTTTGCTTGTTTACCGTTTATGATTCTGGATTGTCTATATATACCCGTTTGCACCTGTATGACCACTGCTTGCCTGACGCTGAATAAACCTGCATATTGGATCTTACTTTCTGTTGTCAGTGTCACTCCACCACATCGTTACAGTTTCCCTTGCTCGAAAGCTTGACAGAGCTCCTGCGCATAGCTACGGTTGCTAAGCCACCATTGGTGGGTGGCGCTTTTTGGGTGTGGCTTAGCGAAGGGTCAATTACAGTTCTGCAATTGTAATTATACGGCTATGTTAGCATGCACATCAGAATATTATTTGATTTTTATGCTGCAACATTTGTTTGTGTGTGTGAGTGCTTTTAAATGTGACTTTCAATAGAGCAACATAATATCTAAAATTCAAATGAAAGAACCCAATATATATTATATAATAACCCAATATATTATAATCAGCAATTAAGCTTGTAAGACATAAATTCTGAGAGTTTGCTTTGTGTTTCTGACTAGGTTGGCCATAAGTATTCATTTGTCTGCAAGATAAATAAACTAAATTAAATTACATTTTGGGAGATTTGTGGTTGGAAGGGCATCTGTCGCATAAAACAATTGCCAAAGTAATTGACGGTTCATTCCTCTGTGGTGATAGGAATGTAGAATGAGTGAGAAAGAGAGATCTTAGATGTCCTAAGTGTAGTTTAAAAAAGTGTAATGTCAATTGATTTTGCAATTGCATATTATTTACTACAGCGCAGTATAACTTCTTTTAAAACCTTAAGAAGAAATAAAAGCTTAAATCTCCCCTGGTTCACAGAATCTATATTTCTATGTATTATTTTCCCAGTACATAGTTGACATTAAAACAAAGATGACCAAAATACTGTTTTCAGAAATATTACTGCAGAGTTTATCCAGTGTTTAAAGTGAGCTGAAAGGTATGATGTTTTGCCTGGTTGGTTCATGCCATGGGCTTCTGTTAGCTTGATTTATAAGCTACTGTAATGCCACAGATTAGTTTCAACAGGAAATATTTCCACACACAAAAAATTCCACAAAAATGTAGTGGCTGACGCATAATAAAATTAGACATTTTTGAGAAAATATTTATAGAATTGTCTGTGGACAAGTGTGTCGGGTTTGTTTTCAGGACTGCAGCTTTGCTTCACGGTTGAAAGAAGTGTCTAAAATGGCTGCAATCTACACACACATGTTGACGTATGTTCTGTGTTTGTATGTGAATGGGAGTGTTTTTCCTCTCTGTATGACTTTATATGTATGAGCATTTCCTGTATGTGTGCCTGTATGATAACGTTATCAGCTTAGTAATCAGTCAGATGGCAGACGTTCAAAACATTTACATTTAGTCATTTAGCAGACGCTTTTATCCAAAGCGACTTACAAATGAGGACAAGGAAGCAATTTACACCACTAAGAGCAACAATGAATAAGTACTAAAGGCAAGTTTCAGGTCTGTAAAGTCTAAGAAGGGAAGTGTTAGTAATTTTTTTTTTTTTTTTTTTTTTTTTTTTTTGTACAGTTAGTGTGATATTCAAATAGGCAATTGCAGATTAGGAAGTGAAGTGGAGACTAAATAGTTGAGTTTTTAGTCGTTTCTTGAAAATAGCGAGTGACTCTGCTGTTCTGATGCAGTTAGGGAGTTCATTCCACCAACTGGGCAGATTGAGCGTGAGCGTTCGCGAAAGTGATTTTTTTCCTCTTTGGGATGGAACCACGAGGCGACGTTCATTCACAGAACGCAAGTTTCTGGAGGGCACATAGATCTGCAGAAGTGAGTGCAGATAAGAAGGTGCTAGGCCAGAAGTCACTTTGTAGGCAAACATCAGAGTTTTGAATTTGATGCGAGCAGCAACTGGCAGCCAGTGCAAACGGACTAGCAGCGGAGTGACATGTGCTCGTTTAGGTTCATTGAAGACAACTCGTGCTGCTGCATTCTGGAGCAGTTGAAGAGGCTTGATAGAGTTAGCTGGAAGCCCAGCTAGTAGAGAGTTGCAGTAATCCAGTTTGGAGAGAACAAGAGCTTGAACAAGGAGTTGAGCTGCATGTTCAGATAAGAAGGGTCGGATCTTTCTGATGTTATAGAGTGCAAATCTGCACGATCGAGCAGTTCTAGAAATGTGGTCAGAGAAGTTTAGTTGGTCATCAATCGTTACTCCAAGGCTTTTCACCATTTTGGATGCAGTAATGGTTGCCCCATCCATCTGGATTGAAAAGTTATGGTGTAGAGTCGGGTTGGCAGAAACTACAAGCATTTCCGTTTTTGCGAGGTTCAGCTGAAGATGATGATCTTTCATCCAGTGTGAAATATCCAACAGGCAGGCTGAGATACGAGCTGGAACCGAGGGATCATCAGGATGAAAAGAGAGGTATAGCTGGGTATCATCAGCATAGCAGTGGTAGGAGAATCCATGTCTCTGGATGACTGGTCCTAGAGATGATGTGTAGATGGAGAAGAGAAGTGGCCCAAGAACAGAGCCTTGAGGTACCCCAGTGTTTAGATGCTGTAGGTTGGACACCTCTCCCCTCCAAGACACCCTGAATGACCTGTCAGAGAGGTAAGATCTGAACCATTGTATAACAGTGCCCGCAACGCCCAGTGACTCAAGCGTAGATAGCAGGATCTGGTGGTTGACAGTGTCAAAAGCAGCTGACAAGTCCAGCAAAATGAGGACTGATGATTTAGAGTCTGCTTTAGCCAGTCTGAGATCCTCCACGACCGAGAGCAGGGCAGTCTCAGTTGAGTGGCCTTTCTTAAAGCCGGATTGCTTGTTGTCCATGAGATTGTTTTGAGTAAGAAAGTCCAGGACTTGATTGAACACTACTTTCTCCAGAATCTTGGCCATGAATGGAAGCAGGGATACTGGTCTGTAGTTTTCAAGTAGCGTATGGTCCAGGTTGGGTTTCTTTAGCAGTGGGGTTACCCTAGCCTGCTTAAATGTAGTGGGGAATAAACCAGAGTCAAGAGATGTGTTAATTATGTGAGTCAGTGTTGGTATGACTGCAGGAGAGATGGCTTGCAAGAGATGAGAGGGAATGGGATCGAGTGGACAGGTGGTTGCATGGCTAGATAGCACAAGTTTGGACACCTCAGACTCAGAGAGCTGAGAAAAAGAGGTGAGTGTGTGTGGTGTTGGTGTTGTATCTTGCGTGTTTGTTGTAGGTGCAGCAAATTGAGCACTGATTTTTGCAGTTTTGGTGCAGAAGAATGTAGCAAAGTCATCAGTAGTAAGTGTGGAGGATGCAGGTGGAGGAGGAGGATAGAGGAGGGAGGAAAATGTTTTAAAAAGTAGGCGAGGATTAGTGGCATTGTTGATTTTCAGACGGTAATACGTCTGCTTTGCAGAAGTAACCTCAGCTGAGAAAGAGGACAGAAGAGTTTGGTATGTTAAGAGATGTGCAGGATTTTTAGTTTTCCGCCAAATTCTCTCCGCAGCCCGAAGTTTTGAGCGATGCTCACGGAGAGCATCCGAGAGCCAGGGTGCAGGAGGACTGGCACGGGCTGGCCTGGATGCAAGAGGACATAATCGGTCTAGACATGATGCTAGTGTGGAGCAGAGTGTATTAGTGGCACTGTTCGAATCAAGTGCAGTGAGTTTGCGAGATGGAGGAAGAGAGTCTGAAACAATGGTGGATAGTCTATTGGGTGAGAGAGATCGTAGGTTTCTGCGAAAGGTAACCAGTGTAGGAGTGTGTGGCGGCTCAGGAGTAATGTGGATGTTGAGAGACAGAAGGAAATGATCAGATATTTGTAGTGGAGTTACTAGTGTTTGATCAGTGAAGCAGTGTCGTGTGTAAATAAGGTCTAGCTGATTACCTGATTTGTGGGTAGCAGAAGTAGGTGCTCTTTTTAGGTCAAAAGAGGCAAGCAAAGTCTGAAAGTCTGCAGCTTGCGGTTTGTCAACGTAAATGTTGAAGTCACCTAGCACCAATAAGGGAGTGGCAAAATTAGAAAAAGATGAGAGAAGAACATCCAGTTCATCTAGGAAGTGGCCTAATTTACCTGGTGGGCGGTAGATGACAACCACATTTATGTAGAAGGGGTGGATAATGGTGACTGCATGGAATTCAAAGGAGCTGATTGTTGGCAGGGACGGTATCAGAGTAAATTTCCATTCTTTGGAAATTAGTAGTCCAGTCCCACCCCCTCTCCCTGTCTGACGAGGAGTGTGGGAAAAAGAGAAATTAGCAGAAAGAGTAGCATGTGTAGCAGTGTCCTCCGGCCTCAACCAGGTCTCAGTTAGAGCCATGAGATTATAGTCAGAATATGTAGCTATGGAGGTAATAAAATCAGCCTTGTTAACAGCTGATTGACAATTCCAGAGGCCCACGGAGAGAGAGAGTTGTGAAATAGTAGATACATGTATTGAACGAAGGTTGTGAGGATTACGCCTGCAGCGCACCTCCCGTGTTTTGCGAGTGTTAGTAACAACAGGAATTAGAAAACACATAATAAAAGTGCACTGACAACAAAAAATAAGTGTAAAGTAAAACAATACTGTAAAGTACTCAAGTGCTTTGTCGGTGTCTTTGCTCGGTGGAGTCGCGCAGGTAGAGTCGATGGTCTTTACCCTCGTCGGTCTTCACACGAGGCGGTCTTCACACGAGGCTGCCGCGACCGCTGCCGCGGTGAACTAGTTGTTTATATAACCCCAAAGCACTAGCTGATTGAATTCAGCTGGACACGCCTCGAGAGTCAAAACAAGGGCCGAAACTGAGGCGGACGACGCGAAACCGCGTTTGCGTTCGCTACACAAGCTCTTATAGTAACCAAGGAAACAGTGGCTAAACAACTTCTAGTATTATACACAACTGAAAGCAAGTTTAAATGTCCTACAACTTTACACAAACAGCTGGAAACAAGTCCTCAAACCATACACAACAACTGAAACAAATCTTAAATGTACTTACAGGCTGCTGGTCTAGATGCTGATAAAGTGCTTCTCCTGCCGACTAATGCTAGCGTGCTCGCTATATAGTGGTTACCTGGCGTTTGGACACGCCTCCCGAGTCAAAACAAGGGCCGAAACTGAGGCGGACGACGCGAAACCGCGTTTGCGTTCGCTACACAAGCTCTTATAGTAACCAAGGAAACAGTGGCTAAACAACTTCTAGTATTATACACAACTGAAAGCAAGTTTAAATGTCCTACAACTTTACACAAACAGCTGGAAACAAGTCCTCAAACCATACACAACAACTGAAACAAATCTTAAATGTACTTACAGGCTGCTGGTCTAGATGCTAATAAAGTGCTTCTCCTGCCTTCCTACATAATATGAAAGGATACTTGAGTTTGTCTTTCAGTAATGGAATGAGCTGTTGATATTGCCCACAATGTCTGCATTTTACTCGTTTTTTTGTTGGTGACCAGGGTAAAAACAACTAATAGCCATCATATGTCTCCACTTTACTGAATTGCAAACATTTGTTGTGTATTACAAGATTTAAAAATGTTATATTTAAATATGCAGATGCATTCTTAATACACAAACACACTTCATTAAACATGTGCAAATAGATATCTCCTATATGCTATAAAGCTGCAGGTTAACTGTGTATATAATAACTTATATGTTCAATTCAATTCATCTTTATTTGTATAGCGCTTTTACAATGTAGATTGTGTCGAAGCAGCTTAACATAGAAGTTTTAGTCAATCGAAACTGTGTCAGTCCAGTTTTTCAGAGTTGACGTTCCGTTTAGTTCAGTTCAGAGTGGTTTAAATTTCACTACTGGAAGTCCAAACACTGAAGAGCAAATCCATCGATGCGCAGCTCCACAAGTCCCAAAACCAAGCAAGCCAATGGCGACAGTGGCTTGAATATTGGATTGTAACTTTAACTTAATTTGATAGTAATGCAATAATCTGTATATTTTGTAAAGCTGCTTCGAAACAATAATTATGGTAAAAAAGCGCTTAACAAATAAACGTGAATTGAATTGAGTTATTTTATGATATATGTGCTGTTTTGGATGCATTTCTTCTTGCACACACAAGAACATACTAAATTCTTGTTTCATTTCTTGTTTCATTTTTACAGAGAGGGGTTTGGAAACCTCTTCTTAAACCCATAATTCAGAAAATACAGTCAAAAAATAAATCAGTAAAATAAATAAATTAAAATGTTGTATATAATCAGGTGAAAAGTGTGTTTTGAATGTTCTTTTTTCCCATTAGCCTAAATTAGTCTGCCATGTCTCACTTTGAATAATACACAAAAGAGACGCATTAATCAGTTAATATTTGTTTTGTTTGTTCTTCAGGTTTGTTTCTTCGTGGCCCTGTACTATAATGTGATCATTGCCTGGTCTCTGTTCTATATGGGGAATTCATTCCAGTATCCATTGCCTTGGGAACAGTGTCCTGTAGATATGATCTCAAATCAGACAGGTATGTTTTCACATACACAAATAAAGGGTCATTGTCCCTGACAGTCTCTTGTCTTTCACTGACTAAAAGGCTACATTTCAATGACCTATAATAAGCACTGAGCAGACAAAAAGGACAATATATCTTTAATCAGGTTTTCACATTGCATCGGTTTAGGACACAGTGCTAAAGCCTAAAATAAAGCTGGACTGGAAGTTAGATTGAATTAGCTTATTTGTTTCAAAGGCCTTGTTAATCTTTTTAATTAGCCTATGACATTAATACAACAATGATTAATTGATCATATAATTATTTGTTTACACTATTTTAAATTCTGTCAGCAACCACTTATGTAGGCTAATGTAGGCTATACCTTACTTTAAAAATGTAATTATAACAAAAAAATAAATAAATGATAACTAATGTAAATGACATTTTATAATAAAAATGTATTCTAAAAAAAAAAAAAACCATGGTATATAAAAATTACATTTAGATAAATGGAAAGAAAAATTTTAAAGACAACCAAAAATCCCTGAAATTTCATGGAAAAAACTAATCACATTAAAATAAATAAATAAAACCTTGTGTATAGTTAAAGTCAGAATTATTAGCCCCTCTTTGAATTTTTTTCTTTTTTAAAAATGTTTACCAAATGATGTTTAACAGAGCAAAGAAATTTTCACAGTATGTCTGATAATATTTTTTCTTCTGGAGAAAGTCTTATTTGTTTTATTTGGGCTAGAATAAAATCCGTTTTTAATTTTTTAAACACAATTTTAAGCTCATAATTATTAGCCCATTTAAGCTATATGTTTTCAATTGTCTACAGAACAAACCATCATTATACAATAACTTGCCTAATTACTGTAACCTGCCTAGTTAACCTAATTAACCTACAGTAGTGAAGCCTTTAAATGTCAATTTAAGCTGTATAGAAGAGTCTTGAAAAATATCTAGTCAAATATTATTTGCTGTCATCATGGCAAAGATAAAATAAATCAGTTATTAGAAATGAGTTATTAAAACTATTATGTTTAGAAATGTGTTGAAAAAAATCTTCACTCCTGTAAACTGAAAAAAAAAACGGGGCTAATAATACTGACTTCAACTGTATATATATATACAGAAGAAACAGTTGATTGATAGCGTTCAGAGATCTTTTCTGAAAACAAATAATATAGAAAAATTAAATAATATGAATTATTGACTATATATGTTTGTCTTTAATTTTTGCAAAATTGTGTATTGAATATACACCATTTAAAAAAAAAATATATATATATATATATATATATATTTATATATATATATATATATATATATATATATATCAGCTAATATAACAGCTTTTGGCCTCCAAATCTTGAGTTATCGTTAATCGGCATCAGTCAAAAATTCCATATCACCACGTTCCCATTTCTATTTATAAAAGAAGCCTATAAAATGTATCACGATTGTCACAAATGCAACACAACAATTTAAAAAGTTATCACCAGAGATGGGCACGTTACTTAAAGTAATTAGTTATAGTTGCTGTGAAAAGTAACTGAATTACATAATTATAAAAGTGACTAATTACAAGGGAAAGTAACTATTGCTTTACTTTTAAACAAAAGAAAAATAGGCCACACTTTATTTTGATGGTCCGTTTGTTGAATTTAAGTTACATTGCATCTACATGCCAACTAATTCTCATTAGATTATAAAGAGACTGTTAGGTTGAGGTTAGTTAAGGTTGACATGTACTTGTAAAGATACACTAAATTAAATAAATGAATGGTATTAAACATTCTATACTATATGTTGCTGTAAGACAATGTGAGAGACACCCATCAAATTTAATATTTTTATGGTGATTACGGGGGTTGTAATGGGGGAAACAGTGATTTATTTGCTCACTCTTTACATAAAAAAGTAATTCTGTTAGTAACGCCATTTATTTATAAGGGCGTTTTTTTCATGCTTACCAATCTAGACGTATGACTAGTGTGTGAGTTGTGTGTGCTTTTTCATGAATAAATGTTTTAATGAAAACATGAAGCTTCCAAAAGAACAGTAAATCCCATTCCATTCAAATTTAAGATGAGGGATTATAAGAAAGAGTACATTTCATTATTGGCCAACTCAAAGCAAAATCATCATTCTGTTTAAATATGAAGAGTGTTTTGACTTCATCTGTCAGCTAATTAGTGCAACATCAGCTCATCACTCTTCACTAACGCGCAACATCCCTAATAATCACACTCTTTGTGTATATTGCATGTCTTTGATTCAAAAGGTCTATGCGTGGCCGTGTTGTAACACATCTCATCCTCCTGTTTCAGTGAAAGAATGTGCTGCAAGCTCTCCTACCTCATATTTCTGGTTCAGGAAGGCTCTGGATATCTCAGACTCCATAGACCAGTCAGGAGAGTTTAACCCCATCATGACCGGCTGTCTTCTTGCCGCTTGGGCTATAGTGTGTCTCGCCATGATCAAGGGCATCAAGTCTTCAGCCAAGGTACAAAGCACACACACACACACACGCACACACACACTTTTAGATTCCTATCATGACATCATGGGTTTTTCGGTTACTGTTTGTTACTGAACTAATGATATTTATGGGATCTTTTTTTACCTTTATAGCCCTTCTTTTTAGCAAATAAATATATAAAAATCTGAATTTTATCAAGCACAAATGCACTTGAAGCTAAAGGAACATGACTTTTTTTGGAAATAGGCTCATTTGACAACTCTCCTATCCACTTGTTAAGTGTGACGTCACGCAAAGCAGCTACCGTGTCCAAGCACTCTATCAGACTCTGTGTAGGCTCAACACATGCAAATATTAAACATTTACAAAGAGCTGTAATACTTTCGAAATCAAGATCACAATATATCTGATGTCTGATGCAGCATGTCCAGAGACTTCTGTGTACACCATGATTTTATATAAAATTCACTTTGTGTGATAGGACTAATAAGTGGTCATAAACAGAGATGGCAAATGTACACACATCTTTTGCTTAAGTAGAAGTACAGATACTCATGTTTAAAACAACTCTGGTAAAAGTAAAGAAGTACCGCCTTGAGAATGTACAAAAGTAAAAAAGTTAAAAGTACCCGTTTTAACCACAGTCTTGATGACTTTTTTATAATTTGTTTTTATATGTTTCCTTAAGACTTTTTTCCAAATCTGTCTACAACTTTTTTTTAATGACGGTCTAAAAGGAGGTTGTCCTATGTTCACATTTTTTTGTTTTGTTTGTTCTTTGTGCTATGCAGTGCTGTCTTTTCCTTTCTGTATCACAATGACATGATCTGGCAACTACTTACAGTACAAACGGCCAAGAAAAATATTGCCACAGTTTACATTAGAACAGCCCCCCAGAGTACACTGATATACTGACAACATGACTACTAAGTAATTTGAGTCTAATCCGTACACAGTGACACAAGGACATGTCATTCTGACGCAACTGACATGTTCATTGGCACAAAAACTTAGTTTTGAGAGATGAACTAAGAATATTGAGCAGGACTGGCTTTTGTAGGTTTCAGTTCTGATGTGAGAAATGTGCCAAAATGACACAAAATGATGACAGAATGAAGCGACATATACATGCGTGACTACATTCTACAAAACATGTGCATGATCTTTTTTCACATTATCTTTTGCAATATATTTTTTATTTATAAATTGCCCAGTATACTTACTTTTGTTGTTGTAAAACATTTGTTAAAAATGATTAATTATAGAGAACAGTATAGGCCTACAGGTATGTGCAAAATCATATAGTCAATAAAAAAAAATCAATAAAAACTGTTTACCTGTGATCCGAACGAGCAAAAGGTGTCTTATTACCGTGTAAACAGGGGAGCATCAGTCATGTTAAATTCGCAGACTCCCTCTGTCACATCTGCGTAGTCATCCTAGCCTTTTAATAGTAATCTTCATAAACTAGCCGACGGCACGAAAAGGCTGTGCAGTACACAGGCGTACAATGAGGAAAAATAGACACTGCATCAAAATACATTCATATTTCGCAATGACAAGAAATAATATAGATCGTGCCACCAAACACACGAAAACAAAAGTGACGAGCCCGGTTTAAAAATGTAAGAAGTAGAAAGTACAGATATTGGTGTAAATGTTAGAAGTGAAAGTAAAAAGGTTGTCAGAAAAAATAAGTAGTGGAGTACAGTACTGATACCAGAAACATTTACTTTAGTACAGTAACAAAGTATTTGTACTTCGTTACTTCCCATCTCTGGTCATAAACTAATATTTTCTCAATTCAATTGTGTAACAGCTTGGACCCGGAAACAGTATGTCCTGCATCATGACTTATCAAGTGAATAGTTAAACTGTTGATTTTTACCATTTTTGAATCCCTTCAGATGATCTCTGGGTATGGTGGGACACTTTTAGCTTAGCTTAGCATAAATCATTGAATCAGATTAGACCATTAGCATCTCACTCAAAAAAAGGAAAAAAATAGTTTTCTGTAATTTTCTATTTCCTATTTTCCTAATTTTCCTATTTAAAGCTTGACTCTTCTGTATTTACATCATGAACTAAGATGGCAAAAAAAGTTTTGATATATGTCAATATGGCTCGGAAGTATACTCTGATTCTGACATTATAAACAAGGAACTTTGCTGCCATACCACTGCCATAGCAATGATATTTCGCAATGCTGTTACCTAGCTCGGGACTATTTTCAGCTGCATAATATCATTGTGCTTGCTGCAGCCATGGTTCAGCAGCAAAGTTTTTGATTTATATTAGGCTTAAAGTGGGAACCCTGCTAAAAAGAAATCTGATAGACATTTAAACCTAAAAGTCTTGGCTAATTCAAGTCTAAATTTGATCTGTCAGTAAAAATCTAACAGACATCTAATAATAGTTTGACAATTGGCAAGTCTTCGAATAGACAGGAATGAATGACTACACATGTGAAGTCTGTCTATATGATGACTAATATATACTTTGGACTGTTGTTAGATGTCTGTTAGACTTTTACAGACAAACCAAATTTAGACTTGAATTAGCCTAGACTTCTATGTTTAGTCATCTATTAGATGTCTGTAAAACACAAAATAGCTTGCCAATTAATTTTACCATATATTAGAAGGCATAATTTTTTCACAATGGCTGCCCAAACATCCAAAACAGCAGATGTTTCGGTGTGAATGAACAAAGCATTAATCTATAAATGCTGGTTGTGACTTTTCTTCATTTTACTTTATTTAGGTATTTACTGTATGTGTGTAAGCTGAATATTTATGGAAAAGTGTGTGCTTGTAATGTGTACTTGTTTTGTTGTATAGGCTACACTGTAAAAAAATAATATGCTAATTAACAGTTTGTTTATATACTGTTGTGAATTGCATTATGGGATTAGAATCGTAATCTCTGCTCTGTCGACTTTTGATGTTGAAAATTCAACTCTACAGTTAAACAAAATGACTTTTAGTGACATTTTAGTAGTTTGAAATAATATAATGTATAAGAAAAAAAAATATATATATATGTCTGTGAAATAGCAGAAAATATACTGCTAGTTTAGTACAAGGTTTATGCATTGTAATATACAACACCAACTCAAACGATATATCACTTTACACTATTAAAAATGTTAATAAAAGTCACTTTTTCAAACTTTTTAAGGTTAAAAGTTGTTTGAAGAAAGATCAAGGTCCCATAATGCAATTCAAAAGCATAAATAAATAATGGGAAGTAAAAATAAATGAAAACATGAAAAACAAAATACAGAAAACTGCTAATTTATGGATATTTTTTACAGTGTACACACATGGAGCCAGATCAGTCTTAAAAATAATACATTTACAAAATGGAAATTCTTACATGCACAGCACATTTCACTCTTACAAAATCCAATTTGTAAACGCGAGTATACATAAGCATAAGTAAATGTGAATCATGTTTTGAACTTACGAATTGGATTCATGTATTTTTTTAATCGTGTTTTAAACTTACGAATTGCATTTGTGTATTTTTGAATTGTGTTTTGAATTTAGGAATGAATTTGCATATTTACGAATCGTGTTTTGAATTCACAAATTGGATTTGTGTATTTTTAAATCGTGTTTTGAATCTAAAAATTGGATTTGTGCATTTTCTAATCATGTTTGGAACTTACAAATTGGATTTGTGTATTTTTGAATCGTGTTTTAAACTTACGAATTGGATTTGCGTATTTTTGAATCATGTTTTGAATGTACGAATCGGATTTGTGTATTTTTGAATTGAGTTTTAAATTTAGGAATTAAATTTGTGATTTTCTAATCATGTTTTGAACTTACGAATTGAGTTTGTGTATTTTTGAATCGTGTTTTGAACTTCGAATTGGAGTTTGTAACTGTGAATTGTGCTGTAGATGTATAAATGTTATTTTGTAAATGTATTATTTTTGAGACTGATCTGGCTCCATATTACACAGGCTACATTGGTATTGTATGCCTAGCCGCAGATTAGTTGGTTAAAAAAGAAGGCAGACAATCTGAAAAATAAATGTGTGTTTCTCTATTTCTCAATACAGGTGATGTATTTCTCCTCTGTGTTCCCTTACGCAGTGCTCATCTGTTTTCTCATCAGAGGCCTCATGCTGGACGGAGCAATAGATGGCATCAAATATATGTTTTATCCTAAGGTGACATGCTACTCCAATAACAGACATATCAGATGCATTAAGTGTGATTTAAGTGATTACGCTTTATTATTCTGTGTTTGATAAGGTGGAGATTTGGGGGGAGGTGCAGGTCTGGCGTCAGGCTGCCACTCAGGTCTTCTTTGCTCTGGGTCTGGGTTACGGCTCTGTAATCGCTTATTCGTCCTACAACCCTATTCATAACAACTGCCACCGGGACGCCATCATGGTCTCTGGCATCAACTTCATGACCTCAGTGCTGGCCTCTCTGGTTGTCTTTGTGGTCCTCGGTTTTAGAGCCAAGAACATCGCTTTGGATTGTGTCGCAACGTAAGTGACAATCTGCTCATTTTGCTCTTGTTTTTTTTTTTTCCTTCTTTAATTTGGTCGTCCTGATTTTACCAAGTGCTTCATGTCCGGAAATCAATATCTTGATATGACATTCAGTTAGCAGCCTCTTCGTTTTTAACTTTTAATTTACATCAGCCTGCTTTTTTATTTTAATTTTGATGTTCCTTCACAATGACAATAAAGATTCTATTCTATTCTTTTCTATGTTAATGAATAGTTATGATAATGTTTGGTTTACAGATGAGTTATATCAAAGGTGCCAAATCATTTTGATTTTCTGTATTAAGTTTCTCACTATAACTGTATTTATTGGACTGTCAACAGATCTAAGGGCTCATTACTGTTCAGAAGTTTGTGGTGTTACATGTGCTGTTAGGTGATTAATCGCAACTTTTATTCACTCATTTTCCTTCTGCTTAGTCCCTTTATTCATCAGGGGTTGCCAACTTATCCAGCATATGTTTTACACAGCGAATGCCATTCTAGCTGCAGCCCAGTACTGGGAAACACCCATACACACTCATTCATACACGTATATTACGGCCAATTTAGTTTATTAAATTCACCTACAGCGCATGTCTTTGGACTGTGGGGAAAACCGGAGCACCCGGAAGAAGTCTACGCCAAAGCAGGGAGAAGATGCAAACTCCGCACAGAAATGTCAACTGGCCCAGTCGGGACTCGAACCAGCAACCATCTTGCTGTGTTAATCACTGAGCCACCGTGTCGCCCTAATAAATTTCAGTAACTTATCACATACAAAATAATAGTTTACGTTTACATATTTATATTGTGTGTAGTGTGTGTATTTATAATGTATAAATAAATATGCACATCTATGTATATATGTACACGTGTATAGAAAATGTATAGAAAACTAAATTTCATGTAAATATTAATATGTACATATTTGAATATATGCATTTATATTTGCATAATATATGTATGTGTATTATTTAATATGTAAATACAGACTTTTATTTTGTATGAAATGAGTAGGGCCAGACGGAATCTGCAGACATTTTTTGCTATGTCTGCGCAGAATTTTTGGTAAAAATCTGCGGATTTATGCGGAATGATTTTGGGAGTATCATAACTAAAACCTTAATATAGAAAATAAAAAGCAATACCTTTTTAACTTGTATTTAATGTTTACAATGCAAATTCAATTAGATCCACCTTATTTGATAAACAAAGCAAGTCTCTCATATAATATATTTACTAAAAGACAGAAAATTTTACTTTACAAACTGTATTGTGCATAAATCATATAAATATTTTCATATTAGTCGATAATATTACTGAAATTAATTTAAAAACTGAATAAATATGAATTTACACACATTTACACAAGTCAATAAATACACTCAATGGCTAAAAATCTGCGGAATTGTGCGCACGCAGATTCCGTGTGGGCCTGTTTAGTCACAATTAATCAAACAGCACTAGTAATATAATTATTCAATGTCTTTTATGCTTTTGATCAAAAATATACATTTAATTTATTGTCAAAATAAAAGGCTAAAAAAAAGCTAATTTTTTTTATTTGAATATATAAATGTTATATTCTTTTGAATGCAACTGAATTTTCATCTGAATATTTCTGAAATTAGCATAATGATGCTGATTTGGTCTTCACGAAACATTATTTATTATAATTAGTACTGTGAATAACAATGCAATTTGATTGCTGTACTGTAAATCCTCTTATTTTCATCATTTTTGTCCCCCTTGATTATACACAAAGCTAGAGTTTTTACCTCATATTAAAAATGTCACTTCTTTAACATCAATGTTAATGTTGCTCTGCAGGAACGTGGCCAGAATGGCAGAAATGGCACAGACTGGCTCATCTCAGCACTGGCGGCCATTGTTCAACATGTCCGACCCTAAATCAGTGGTTCTTCAAGACTACAGGCAATGGTACAGCAGCTACGGAAGCCTGCTAGGATCTAATATCACTGACTGTGACCTGGAGAGAGAAATGAGCAAGGTAGGGTTCACACTCACCGGCCACTTCGGTAGTTCAAGTCTCTTGAATCTTCTTCCTCCTTTTTCCTTCTTCCAGCAGATCATCTTGACCACGTCCACATACCTAAATGCATTGTCAAGTGATTGATTGATTTTTGGTTGATATTTGCATTAAAAGATTAGTTCCAGAAGAAATTACTTCCTGGTAATTTATAAGCTAAATAATCTGCCAGTGGGGCAAGCAAAATAAGTGCTATTCATTTATAAACTTCATAAATTTCAAAAGGAGCACGTGCTTATGATTAAGCACAGCAGGTCCTGCATTAGCTAATACATGATCTACCAATCAGTCAATTCCTAACTCACCATAAATAACCAGAGTTTCTTTCCTCAGTATCTTTGTTTTAAAGAATCCACCTTTCTTTCTAGACAGGGCAGCATGGCGGCCCAGTGGTTAGCACTGTTGCCTCACAGCAAGAACGTCACTAGTTCAAGTCCTTTACAAAGCTTCTATGCAGATGTTTCCATGCAGAGTTTACATGTTCTTCCAGTGCTTGAGTGGGTTTTCCCCAGGTTTTCTCCCACAGTCCAAATATATGCAACATGAGTGAATTAAACAAACCAAATTGGCACTGTAGACTAACTCTAGCCAGCAGTATATTTCCACAGTAATTCATAATTTTTTACTTATAGCAGGGGAGTTCTCGAGAACCACCCGAGCTCACACTCCCCTCTCACCCTTCAAATGGGAGGGAGCCCCATGGCTTGAGGATCTTTTGAGCTCAGGGCTTTATAATCAATCATCAGCTAAGTGTGAACTCTTGAATCTTCTTTTTACTTTGAAAAAATATTGTTTCACTTGCTTTTTTTATATTATAACTCTCTTAATTTGAGCATATTATTTCTGTAAACAAAACATTATTTTACCTTATCTTGAAATCATTTTTGATTTTAGGAATTTAAAGATATTTAGACTAGAAATGAGACAAAAACTAGTAAGAAAAGCAGTTTTGCAGTGCATTACAACTGTTAAAAAGGTGCTAAATGCTGTTTTTCAATCTTGACTAGCCTGAAATGGTAAATATATTATATCTGAAACACTTTAAACAAAATTCAGATTTACTAAAGAAAAAATACTACAATAAAATTGGCCTCAAATCACTTGAACCCAAATATATAGCTTATTGCAGCTATATTTATAAATGTAATTACAGAAATTAATTACATTCAGATAATTATTATTAAAATATGAGTAAAATGCAAAAACATGTATTCACATAATAAGTGCATGGTACCAAATGATTAATTTAAAATGTAAATACATGGTAATTAAGTCAACTGAAACAGAATATTGAATAGGGGGCGGTGCTTTCTTCTTGCGCATCACTCCCTCATAACAAACTAATGGTAAGAAGGAGGTGGTTAAGAATATTGTGCCTGAAGCTGAACCCACACTCCAATCTAGTGGTGTAACGGATCACAAATCTCACGGTTCGAATCACATTATGGCTTATTAGGCATGAATCAGACCATTTTTCGGATCAGCTAAAAAGGGAGGAGACAAATGTCATTTGCTTTCCATTTATCACAAAAACAGTACTGCAAGACACTTTGGTTTTAACAAACAGAACTTAAAACCTGTGATTTTATTAAAAATAAAATGAAGAAATAATCAACTGAATAAAAATAGTAAAATATTTAGTACTGTGAAAAATTCATTGTTACTACTGTTGCTGATAGCACTAAATGTAGAAATCTAACACTATACAACCCATGATTATTTTTAGTCTCATTTTCAACAAATGATTCAGTTATTTACTCATAAAACGTAATCTTTCATTGCTAGATGTGTCATTTTTGAAGAATTATTCAGTGGCATTATTAGGGGCCAAGCACCGTAGGTGCGTAGGCACCTATTGCTTTCGTTAGTGTTCTTTTTCTTCCGTTTCTTCCGCCGGATTTGAATGGCAGCCCATAAAGGGCAATTTAACGAAGGACTTGCGAAAATGGACTTGAGACGATATCTCCGTAACGCATTCACCGATTTACACCAAACTTGGTATGTGTTATGACAACTAGGGTCTGAGGTTACATGCAGAGTTTCGGCGCACTCCGGAGATTAAAAAAACTTGCTTTTTTGCTTATAACGTCTCAACCTTTCGTTCCAAACTCATAAAACTGGTGTCATTACATCCGGCAGAGCATGTCGAGTCGAATGATGTCTGATTTTCACAGGTCAGCCATTTTGGGCGTCGCCCATTACGATTTTTGGCCAAAAATGCTATATTTTACCAACATATTCACATATCATTACAAAACATGGTAAGCATCTGGCACAATGATAGAGGACAGTATTAACAATAATCATACCAAACATGAAGTCTCAAAATCAAACTCTCTAGCGCCACCACTTGTCCAAACGTTCATGTATGTTTATCATGATAACTTTTGAACCAAATGGGCTACAATCAAAATTCTTTTTTCCACTGATTCTCTGGCTCAGTCCGATTCAAACGCACCCTATGACGTCATTTTCCGTCATGAATTTTTTCGCGCTATTTTAAATTATTCGAAAAACCTATTTGATCGAACTCATCCTAGGCCGTTTCTCCGATTATCACCAAAATTGAATCACATGATCTACAGACCATGCCAACCAAAAGTTATGAAATTCAAGTTGATTTGACCAACCGTTTTCGTTTAACTTGCAATCAAATTTAACGTAGAACTTGCAAAGATGGACTTTAGACGATATCTCCGTAACGCATTCACCGATTCACACCAAACTTGGTGTGTGTTATGACAACTAGGGTTTGAGGCTATATGCGGAGTTTCGGCGCACTGCCCCCTAGTGGTCTGGAGATACAAAAAACTTGCTTTTTTGGTTTATAACGCCTCAACCTTTCGTCCGAAACTCATAAAACTGCTCTCATTACATCCGCCAGAGCATGTCGAGCCGAGTGATGTCTGATTTTTACAGGTCAGCCATTTTGGGCATCGACCATTTCGATTTTTGGTCATAAATGCTATATTTTACCAACACATTCACATATCATTACAAAACATGGTATGCATCTTCAACCCCATGCCCTAAAAGTCCTTAAAATGTTCTGGAGCAGCGCCACCTTTTGGTCAAAAGTGCTTGGCCCCTTAATTGCTGCTTGCAGCTATATTTATTATTATTATTATTATTGATGGCTGGTTGTCGCCACCTATTGGTCAAATAATGTAAGTGCTGCCTACAACTTTTATTTTTGAGCGTCGTTAAATTGAATCTTTACCATAAACAACAGTGGTTGTATCTAAACTATAAACTGTTATTCCAGTACTGTTGGTAACTTCATAACTAGCTCAAAAGACTAAAAACTAAATCTCTATCTTGATTTTTGCGTTTTCAGAATTGAATGCAGCGATTTGATGTATTAATAAACGTATGCAAATCACCATCATTAATAATTTATGTTGCGTGGGTGTTGAGATCTCAATCTTTTAATGATTAGTTGTGCAGCTTACAATAATTGCATTAATGCAGGCTAAACAAGTACAAATCGTTACAAATTTAGGATTAATCTACCAGTAAAAAAAATTATTAATCTGCAGGCCACGTGTGTTCCGAACTGTGGGTTGTGATCCGTATAAATCACGGATCAACTGTGATACGTGACACCCCTATTCCAAACGCTGAAGAAAATGTTCAGAATTTGATTGAAGATTACCAATACAAACTTTTGTTCCAGTGGATTAACTTGCATGGATTAATTGTTCACCTAAAGAAAAACAATGTGCGCTAGCAAAAAAAAAAAAAAGTAAATTTTGATTTCACACAGACTTTAAAATAAAGTGGGTCCCTAATTTAACAAGCAATTAAATAGGAATACCTAATAAAGTGGCCTTTAGTGCATATTTTGTATCTTACCGTTATATTATTCCTACTTGTTCAAGTCCATTCATCCATCCTGTTTGCCTTTCTCTCAGGGAGTGGAGGGAACGGGTTTGGCGTTTATAGCGTTTACTGAAGCGATGGCTTTGTTTCCTGCGAGTCCATTTTGGTCGACGCTGTTCTTCCTCATGCTGCTGAATTTGGGCCTGTCCACCATGTTTGGCACCATGCAGGGTATTCTGACCCCGCTCATGGACAACTTCCGAGTACTGGGACGCCACAAGACCATGCTGACAGGTACACACAAATAGACACTTAAATACTAAAGGATTTTGTGTTCTAGCTCTAAATGTCACATCATGTGTTTAATCTGCAGTGTGTAGCTGTATTCTGGGCTTCCTCATTGGTCTGCTCTTCACTCAGAGGAGTGGCAACTACTTTGTGACCATGTTCGATGATTATTCTGCCACGCTGCCACTGATCATTGTTGTCATTTTCGAGACCGTCAGCGTGGCGTGGATTTACGGTGCAGATCGGTGAGGAATCTTTGTTTTATATGCTGATTATACATAAGTTAAAGTGATGGTTCACAAAAATGAAAATCTGTCATCATTTACTCACCCTCTACTTGTTAGAAACCTGTGTTTCTTTCTTCTGTTGAACATCTAATAATATCAGGGTTTTTACTCTTTCATGAACAGCAGATTCAAGGACTTTTTAAAGCCCCATTCATTTCAAATCAAGCACCTTTCTTAATTCCCCGGCATATGTAGTATCATGAAAGTGCTTCCTGTATTTAACGTTTAATTTACACGTAATATTTTTAAAACAGTTTTTGAACCATTTTGAAAGTTCTTTAATAACTTTAATTAACTGTGTTGAATTTAATACTGGTAATATGCAATGTGGTTTCTGAAATATTGATAATTATGCATTATGTCATAGTTCTTGTATAAAACTTAAATGTAAGATTTTTAAATTAAGAAGTATTTTCAATAGAGCCAGATCAGTTTCAAAAATAATACATTTACAAAATACAATTCATACATCCACAACACAATTCACATTTATAAAATCCAATTCGTAAATTCACAACACAAGTTCAAAATACACAAATCCAATCCATAAATTCAAAACACGATTCCCATGTACTTGTGTGTTTACAAATTTACAAATTGTATTTTGTAAGTGTGAATTGTGCTGCGCGAATGTAAGAATTTTCATTTTGTAATTGTATTATTTTTTAGACTGATCTGGCTCCATACTTTCGAGAAGAATTTGAACCCTGTAATATATTTGGTAAAATGTTGTACACTGGAAATCATTGACTTCCATAGTATTTTTTTTTTCTTTAGAGCAGGCACCTTGATGTCAAAAGGACATCAAATTGACATCTAACACTGGCGTTTGAAAAATAATAGATTTTTGCCATGTTTTTGACACCTGTGTTAGATGTTTTTTTGATGTCCTTTTGATATCAAGGTAGTTTCCATGCATTATAATGATACAAAATTTAGGAATTTTTTTGGAAAAATTTGGAATTTTCAGATAGTTAAAACTTTTGATACATTCTAAAATTTTTTTTGTCATTATTTTGCCTATTATCTGAGTGTGGATTTCAAGGTTTTGACGTCAGCTAAATTAGCATTGATGATGTCATTTTTTTTTTTTGTTTTTAACATCAAAAACAAGCTTTGGAACCAACAAAATTACAAGTCCAAGGCACTCAAAAAAATGTTTTAAAAAATATTTTAAAAGCCTTTATTAACATAGCTATTCCATAAAAATGCATCAAGCATTTCAGCAAAAACTTGCCTTCATCAAGGCAAAACTTGGTCGACTGCCTTGGACTTTTGAATAATTTCATTGTTTATCGTTATGAATCCCTTACCCAAAGAGTACCGACATGTTAATTACCCCTGAAGCACTTTTGTTTGATTTTGAAGCATTGGAACCATTTAGAGAACTTACATTTTAATCTTTTAGTGAACTTTCCCTTTATATAGTATTGTTTGCTTAATCTGCTCATGATTTTGCTCTTTTTTTAGGTTCTTGGATGATGTGGAAGTGATGCTACATTGGCGCCCTCCGGTGGTTTACCGTTATTTGTGGAAGTATGTGTGTCTTCTCGGCATGGTGGGTCTGCTGGCTGCTAGTCTTCTCCGCATGGTCTTCAAACGGCCCACGTACACTGCCTGGAACCACACCACGGTATTATACACATTCAAATAACCTGGAAAAATACTAACCATGACTACAATTATTGTTAAATAAAATAAAACTAAATGAACCATAACTACAATGATTGTTAAATAAAATGAAATTATAGGAACTATAACTACTGTTAAATAAAATGGAACAATATAAAAAATAAGAAGCATAACTATAATTATTGTTAAATAAAATGCAACTATATGAACTATAACTATAATGATTGCAAAATAAAACGAATCTATATGAATAATATGAACCACAACTAAAATTACTGGTAAATAAAAAGATGACTTTAGATACATTTAAAGAGATCACTCAACAATGAAATAATCCTCTCACTATTTATTTTATAATAAAATATATAAAAATGTAAGAGACCACTGGGAAATTACACACATTTAAATAAACTGGAACAATATGAACTGCAACTACATGTCAGGGTTCTGCCACTCTGATCTTGTAAATTCTTGTTTTGGTGGCGGATCTCTGACACTACTCGTGTCCGGTCCTGTTTCTGTCTCTGTGTGCGCGCGCGCCGTCGTGGGTGTACGCAGAGTGTGCGCGCTCCTGCTTGACGCGGCCGCGTGCGCGCTCTGCGTCCCTCAGACGCGTGCGCTCTTGTACTCGTGTTTGTGTTTTCGTCTGTCAGCAGCATGGTGTTTCATTCCCAGCGTCTCAGTCTTGTTGGTTTCGGTTTTGGTCGGCGCTGGGATGAAGCATGCATGCTGCATATGTGAGCGCATGGTGAGTTCATTCATCGTGTGCTCGCGTCTTGCGTCTTTTGTCAAAGCACGTGGCTCGGTGTTTACATTGTGGTCACGTGCTTTTGTCGTGTGCTTCAGTGTTGTGTTATGTGAGCGCATGGCTTGTATTGTCTCTCTGTGTCATGCGCTCTCCCGTCTATTGTCTAGTCCCACCCTCCTTGTTAACCCATTATTAGTTTGTCATGTTCACCTGTGTGTCAATTTACTTTTTGCTTTATAATCCCCCTCATGTTTTCAGTCCTTTGCGAGTTCGTCATTATATGTAGTCGATGTTTACCTGTCTTGCTGTGTCCAGTCCTGCCTTGTCGTGCCTGCCCAGTCAAGTTTGTTTGTTTGTTTGTTTGTTTGTTTGTTTGTTTGATTTATTGTTTGTTGTAGAAGTGTTTTCCCCCTCGGGGTTGTTTATTTTGCCTTTTATTTTATTTTTTAATTAATAAATCCTACTTCACTCTGCGCTTGGGTCCTTGCTCCTTTTTCCCTTTACCGGACCGTGACAGTACGAACTCGCCAAAAATGAGGACCCAGCAGAGTGAAGACAGCCCCTTCTCCAGCCGCATACTGCAGCTCATCAGTCTGCAGTCGCTGCGGCAACGTGGCATGAAGGTGGAAAGTTTTGCGGCTAAATTTTGTGTGGCAGCAGAGGGGCTGGGGTTTAATGATCAAGCCCTGGTGAACCTCCTTAACTATGCCCTCGACAAGCCCCTCAATATCCAGCAGATGCTGAAATTGGGAGGGCTATCTTACCATCAGTTTGTGGAGCATTTGGTTCATCAGGCTGCTTATGGCGAACATCCCAATCCCAGCTCTCTGTTGCCCTCTGCTCTGCAGCTAAAGGAGAGAGTGATCCTTCAAGAGAAGAGGATCCCTTACACCAGCGCCACCTCCCAACACATGTCCAGCCCGCAAGGGCTGACCCGCACTCAAAAGCGGAGGTTAAAGAGGAAGACCTCTGCTGCAGTGCCGGCTCCAGCCCCAGAGCGCCCTCCAGTGTCGGCTCCAGCCCCAGAGCGCCCTCCAGTGTCGGCTCCAGCCCCAGAGCGCCCTCCAGTGTCGGCTCCAGCCCCAGAGCGCCCTCCAGTGTCGGCTCCAGCCCCAGAGCGCCCTCCAGTGTCGGCTCCAGCCCCAGAGCGCCCTCCAGTGTCGGCTCCAGCCCCAGAGCGCCCTCCAGTGTCGGCTCCAGCCCCAGAGCGCCCTCCAGTGTCGGCTCCAGCCCCAGAGCGCCCTCCAGTGTCGGCTCCAGCCCCAGAGCGCAGCTCAGTGCCGGTCCCAGTCCGGCTCCTTGCCCTGCCGGCACCACCCAGACGTCTTGCCCTGCCGGCGTCAACCAGACGTCTAGCCCTGCCGGCACCAGCCCGGCGTCTTGCCCTGCCGGCATCAACCAGACGTCTTGCACAGCCGGCGCCTCCCAGACGTCTTGCCCAGCTGGCCCCAGCCCGGCTCCTTGCCCTGCCGGCTTCAGCCCGGCTCCTTTCCCTGCCGGCACCACCCAGACGTCAAGCCCTGCCGGCCCCAGCCCGGCTCCTTGCCCTGCCGGCACCACCCAGACGTCTTGCCCTGCCGGCACCACCCAGACGTCTTGCCCAGCCGGCTCCAGCCCGGCACCTTGCCCTGCCGGCACCTACCAGACGTCTTTCCCTGCCGGCACCTACCAGACGTCTAGCCCTGCCGGCCCCAGCCCGGCTCCTTGCCCTGCCGGCACCACCCAGATGTCTTGCCCAGCCGGCTCCAGCCCGGCACCTTGCCCTGCCGGCACCACCCAGACGTCAAGCCCTGCCGGTCCCAGCCCGGCTCCTTGCCCTGCCGGCACCACCCAGACGTCTTGCCCAGCCGGCTCCAGCCCGGCACCTTGCCCTGCCGGCACCTACCAGACGTCTTTCCCTGCCGGCACCTACCAGACGTCTAGCCCTGCCGGCCCCAGCCCGGCTCCTTGCCCTGCCGGTCCCAACCAGACGTCTTGCCCTGCCGGCCCCAGCCCGGCTCTTTTCCCTGCCGGCCCCAACCAGACGTCTTGCCCTGCCGGCGCACCCCAGACGTCTTGCCCAGCCGGCCCCAGCCCGGCTCCTGGCCCTTCCGGCTCCCCTCTGGTCTTCAGCCCCGCCGGCTCCCCTCTGGTCTTCAGCCCCGCCGGCTTTAGTTAAGTCGCCTCTAGACCAGCCAGCTCCCTACAGGCCTCCTGCCTTGCTATCCCAGGCCGATCCTCCTTGGGTTGTCCCTCCTGTTCCACCTTGGAGCATGCCTCTGCCACCCTGGACTGATCCTCCGGCTCCACCCTGGTTCCCTGCCGGGGTCCCTGACCCATTGCACCTGTCCTGGACTGTCCCTCCTGATCCTCCCTGGTTTTGCCCTCCCATCCCTCCCTTGTTTGTCTTGTTGGGTCTGACTTGGCTCCCCTCCCTCCCCCCCTTCATGTCTTGCCTGTTCACCTCCCTGTCTTGTGTTTGTTGATGTTGCCTGTTTTGTTGTCTTGTGGTGTTTCTTGTCTGTCTTGTACCTTGTTTGATGTTCCCTTTAGGGACGCCAGGTGGCGTCCCTTTTGGGGGGGGGTAGTGTCAGGGTTCTGCCACTCTGATCTTGTAAATTCTTGTTTTGGTGGCGGATCTCTGACACTACTCGTGTCCGGTCCTGTTTCTGTCTCTGTGTGCGCGCGCGCCGTCGTGGGTGTACGCAGAGTGTGCGCGCTCCTGCTTGACGCGGCCGCGTGCGCGCTCTGCGTCCCTCAGACGCGTGCGCTCTTGTACTCGTGTTTGTGTTTTCGTCTGTCAGCAGCATGGTGTTTCATTCCCAGCGTCTCAGTCTTGTTGGTTTCGGTTTTGGTCGGCGCTGGGATGAAGCATGCATGCTGCATATGTGAGCGCATGGTGAGTTCATTCATCGTGTGCTCGCGTCTTGCGTCTTTTGTCAAAGCACGTGGCTCGGTGTTTACATTGTGGTCACGTGCTTTTGTCGTGTGCTTCAGTGTTGTGTTATGTGAGCGCATGGCTTGTATTGTCTCTCTGTGTCATGCGCTCTCCCGTCTATTGTCTAGTCCCACCCTCCTTGTTAACCCATTATTAGTTTGTCATGTTCACCTGTGTGTCAATTTACTTTTTGCTTTATAATCCCCCTCATGTTTTCAGTCCTTTGCGAGTTCGTCATTATATGTAGTCGATGTTTACCTGTCTTGCTGTGTCCAGTCCTGCCTTGTCGTGCCTGCCCAGTCAAGTTTGTTTGTTTGTTTGTTTGTTTGTTTGTTTGATTTATTGTTTGTTGTAGAAGTGTTTTCCCCCTCGGGGTTGTTTATTTTGCCTTTTATTTTATTTTTTAATTAATAAATCCTACTTCACTCTGCGCTTGGGTCCTTGCTCCTTTTTCCCTTTACCGGACCGTGACACTACAATAATTGTTAATTAAAAAGATGAATTTAGATACATTTGAATAAATAGTTCACTCAAAAATAGAATAATCCAGTCACTATTTATTTTCTAGTGAAAAATAAATGAAAAAGTAAGAGACCAGTGGGAAATTCATCAATATCTGAATTTAAGATTTACAGTTACATTTTAAAGAAAAAAATATTAGATCTCGCTTGAAATTCTTTTTCAAAATATTTCCTAAATGCTGTTTAATAGAGAGATTGTTTTCAACACTTTTTAAATGTAATAGTTTATTTACATTTATACTTACACATGCATATTGAATTGAATCAGTATTTATTTCAATTACATCTAATTTATTGCCATGTCTTTGCCATGATGACAGTACATAACATTTTACTAGTTATTTTGCAAAAATATTAAGTAGTTAATATTAATATTAACTAAGCTTAAAGAGCAATTTAAAGGCTTATTTAACTAGGTTAATTAAGTTAACTAGGCAAGTTAATATATAAACACCTACACACACTTATGAAGCCCAAAATGTTGCTAAAATATACATACATTTATTAAAATAAAATGTTTGGTTTTGATCAGAACCCCACTGACTTTCACTGTATTTATAAAAGCATATTTCCACAGTATTTCGTAATAGCATTTCTCACTCTGTCAGGGCTCTGAAGCCAGTCTGGAGTATCCCGGATGGGCTCTGGTGGTGCTCTCCATGCTGATCATTGTGGCATCTCTCCCAGTGCCCATTGGCTACCTTCTGTCCTTCCTCCGAGGCGGACTGAACCTTCCAGTGGAGGAGGGAGAGATCCAGCCTCCGCGAGAACTATACTCCAAATGCAGTTCAGCTGAGCCGGAGCCAAACCACCATCACTGCACGATGGACCAAGAGCGAAATCGGCCCCACTCCGCCTTCCTGACACTGGCTCCCGAACACTACAGGCTGCTCTCGCAACAGGAGGATGGAGAGGAAGAGGAAGACACTGGGGTTTAGGGAAATACTGGAGATTCAATATTTATTGATCAGCATTTGGAGCTGTTTGATGGAGAGGAGGGAGGCGGACTCCGTTTATTCTCATTATGCTAATGAACATTCGTGAAAACAGGTGTCAACTGTGTGGCCCTATTTAAGAGGGACACTTTGTGCAAGCACAACACTTATTAGCCCCTTTCACACAGTGAACTGCAATCAAATGACCTGATTTTAATTTTTTTTTGGTCATTTGGTTTTAAAAACAGCAGAATTCTGGAAAATTATTGGTAATGTGATCATATTTCATTCCAGAAAATTGGTGGAAAACATTTTCCGGTATTTATTTTATTATTATATTTTCAAGCGTCTGTTTACACATGATCTCTTGATGTTAATTTACCAATAATTTTACAGTATGTGTGAAAGGAGCTAATTACTTTGTCATTCGTGTGTTTTAAGTAAAGCCCTACACCAAAAGTGCCTTTTAATTATTATAAACATTTCAATTTAGGGATGTGACAATTCACTGAGAGCCAGTTGCCAATGATGCTAGAAAGCATAGATGTGCTAATCTTTCTTTAAAACCAAAATAATCCAAGCTAAGAAAAAGCACAGGCAAAATATTAGTTAATTAATTAAAGATACTTCTTTCATTTGTTACATTTTTTTATTATTATTTAAAAAAAATGCATTTTAATTTGAGGAAATATATTTCAATTTGACAAAGAAATGTGCAGCATTTGAGAATTAAAGGGCACTAGGTCATTTCTAAATTGCTTAAAACAAAATCAAATCATGAGATCAGAATCGCGAAACGTGAGTTGAGTGAATCATTACATTCGTATGTAAATGTTATGTGAGATTACAGACTTTCAAGCCTGATCTTATGGTTAATGCATTGACAAATTAGTGGCTAATACATACGAATTGGTCACATTAAAATGTATAATTTTGTTTAAGAAAGTCTGTCTCTAAACGTAACCGTCATCAAGGGTGTGAAATCCAGTTGGCTTTTCCAAAGAACAAGAGGTTAACTTTCTGAGCTATAAGAGTGATTGTAGCTGGTTAGGAAATATCAGATTATCAGAATTACTAGAATACTAATATTTTAAAATCTTATTTTTTTCCCTATAAGAAAACTCAATTTAGAGGTCAACATTTTATTTAAGGTATCACTCTGTTTGCCATTTATTTTAAGGTTGGTTGAAATATTAAAAACTAGATATTTTATATTAATAGTAGAGTTGTTTACAGTTATAGCTGACATGAATTAAGTATGTTACGTTTGTAGTGTTCAGTGATAAAATATATAGTTTTAGAGAAGCCGAGGGCTTATTAAATATTGTAATATCAAATGTTTTTCACCCTTTCACCATCCAAGATGTTTAGGAATTTTTTGTTTTTGTTTAGTAAAGCATTAAAAACGATTTATAGCTGAAACTGTGGTCTTTGATAATTTCACTCTGGAAGTGCTGGTATCTGTTGACCTGCATTTTAAAGACCACATTTTTAGCTAGATTTTCTTTAATGTTCTGCTAAAGAACAAAAGTCACCTCCATCTTTGATAGCCTGAAGTTGAGTAAAAAATCTATTACTAAACGATCACATTAACGCTAAAATACATCATTCATCCATCCACTCCAAATACTACATATTCATGCTTTTACAGTTGAAGTCTGAGTTATTAGCCCCCTGTTTATTTTTTCCCCAATTTCTGTTTAACAGATTTTTTTTCAACACATTTCTAAACATAATAGTTTTAATAACTAATCTCTAATAACTTATTTATTTTATCTTTGCCATGATGACAGTAAATAATATTTGACTAGATATCTTTCAAGACACTTCTATACAGCTTAAAGTGACATTTAAAGGCTCAACTAGGTTAATTAGGTTAGTTAGGCAGGTTAGGCTAATTAGGCAGGTTATTGTATAACAATGGTTTGTTCTGTAGACTATTGAAAAAAAATATATATCTTAAAGGCTAATCATTTTGACCTTAAAATGGTTTATTAAAATTGAGAACTGTTTTTATTCTAGCTTAAATAAAACAAATAATAATTTCTCCAGAACAAAAAATATTATCAGACACACTGTGAAATTTTCCCTGCTCTGTTAAACATCATTTGGGAAATATTAAAAACACACACACACACACACACACACACACACACACACACACACACACACACACACACACACACACACACACACACACACACACACACACACACATATATATATATACATATATATATATATATATATATATATATATATATATATATATATATATATATATTCAAAGGGAGGCTAATTATTCTGACTTCAACTGTATTTTGTTTTTCTTTGTAAATTATTGTTATTTTCACCCCAACTGGTCTAACACCACAGAAGTATTAAAAATAGATTGTGTCCTTATGCTGTTTGCCACCATGCTGCTTAAGTCCTCAATTACACTGAATGTGTTTTTTATGGTTAGACGTGCCTTTTTGAAATGGTTTTCTATTGGCAGTGAGCGTTTTGCATGCTGTTTATGCAGCCCGAATGGCTTGCATTCTAACTGACTCGGATTATAACTGAGCACTCCGTGCACATGCAGTTGAAATAAGTCAACACTGTGTGTAAAAAGAGCCCGACGTCATGCGCTCCAGCACCAAGACTGATACAGTGGTTGCTAAGCAACATAAAAGTGCAGTGCAGTGCGCCTTGCTGAAAAGCACGTTCTGTGTTATCGACACCAGAGGCATGGATGAACACTAAATAGGAAGACATAAATCTGGTCACATATACCACAATTTAATACATGGCTCATAATGCAATGCAGTTTAAGCAACAACCTTTCAGTGCCAAACTGTGACTGCGCCAGAAGAAAGAGCTTAACGTTCCTATTAGGGATGCACTGATAGGATATTATTTAGGCCAAGACTTAGACCTACAAAAAAAAGTTCAGCCGATACTGATTTTGCTTGTAGTACTACACAGTAAAAGTGTTTTTATTTTTCTGAATTAAATTTATTTAACTGAATATGGAGTGAATCCATTGAACATTTAACTGTCCAACCTTTTAAGAGGCACAAGATAAATTAGAATATGACAATCTTTAAAGGTGTTTTAAGCCATTTAATATTTATTTTGACAACATTAACTTTTATTTGTCATATAATAGAACGTATCTATTTAATAAGCTGAACAAATAAAGCCAGTGCTGTTACTATATGTCAGGCATGTCCAAACTCGGTCCTGGAGGGTCACTGTCCTGCAGATTTTACCTTCAACTTGCCTTAACACACCTGCAAGGATGTTTCTAGAAAGCCTAGTAAGAGCTTGATTAGCTTGCCCAGGTGTGTCTGGAGTTTGGACATGCCTGCTATATGTGAATTATACATTATGCTGCTCCAGAAAAATACAGACTCACTAAAGTGCAGTTTCTTTTATTGTCCAAGACGTTTTATCCCAAATCAAGCAAAGTTTTGTGCCATCGCTTGAGCCATGGTGCACACCAGCTGCTTTACCGATGCACATCTGACATTTTGTACATATAACATTTAGTTTTTTGCAAGTATTTAATGATCTTGCTGTTGAGTTTTTCAAAAAAATGTTTTCACATTATTGCAGAGTTTAAGATGAATCCAAAAAGCAGTGCATCCCTAGTTCATATAGTGCATGGATTGCAGTTGCATTGAATTGTACTCTGGTATCAGAACAACGCAGAACTGTTTAAATAAAAAATGACTGCTACATGGATGCTCAGGTCGACTCATACAGTTCTGTGAACGCAAATACAGAAGGCAGCTTGGATGTTTTGGGAGCGATTTTGGTCCGTTTCGTGCTGACCAGAAAGATGTTAGTCTATATTTTAGACTGATCCACAAGAGAGGTTTTAGTCGTTAGACTGAAAATGAAAGCTTCTTTTATGCTGTTGTTCATGCTTGGATTTGTGTAAATACAGTACAGCAGGGGGTGTCTGCATGCTCACTTCCCTTGGAAGTATTCGCTTGGTTCATTCACTTTTGTTGTAATATACATAATTTAACACTGTAAGCAGTATAGTTTGGATATATACGAGTGAGTACTAGTGTGTGTGTGTGTGTCTGTGTGCGTGTTAAAACAAAGATTTTGTAATTACTATTGCAATTTTGTGCTAACCTAAGCATCGCTGTATATCTAGTCTGTGCCAAATAAAAAGCTATTTGGGCTAAGCGGTGTCTGCACTTTTTGTGAAGTTTATTTATAAACAAATTTCGAGAGGATCACGTGCTTATGATTGTTCACAGCTGTTCCGACTTTAGCTAATAACTGATTATCCTATCAGATGATCCTTAACTCACTATAAATAACCAGACTTTTTCTCATTTCAATATCTTCGTCTCGAAGAACCCACCCCCTCACCCAACCCTACTTTCCCTCCTTTCAAACGGGCGTCACGGTGGCCAGTGATTAGCGCTGTTGCCTCACAGCAAGAATGCCCCTGGTTTAATTCCTTTCCAAACTAGACGGCATTTCTGTGCGGAGTTTGCTCGTTCTCCCCGTGGTCGCGTGGGTTTTCCCCGGGTCCTTCGGTTTCGTCCCACAGTTCAAAAACAAGCACTTAATCCAAAACATTTTAGCTAAACTCTTGAGTACACCTTCAGCATCCATATCTGACACTTTGCTACAACAAGCAAGAGGGGGAGTCATCTAGATCTACCAAAGCTCAAACTCCCCTCTCGCTTTGCAACGAGAGGGAGCCCAGGGCTCGAGGATCTTATAAGCTCAGGGCTCTTTCCCGGGATAGCACGCCAAACTAGCCTTATTATCAATCATCAGCTAAGTGTGAACTCTTGAATCCTCTTTTATTAATGTTGATATATTGTCCTTTATTATACCTTCATTCATTTTCCTTCAAATTAGTTTTTTTATTCATCAGGGGTCGCCAATGCGGAATGAACCGCCAACTTATTAAGCATATGTTTTACACAGCTGATGCCCTTCCAGCTGCAACCCATTACTGGGAAACATCCATACACTCTCATCCTTATACAATACGGCCAATTTAGTTCATTCAATTCACCTGTACCGCATGTCTTTGTATTGTGTGGGAAACCGGAGCACCCGGAGGAAACCCACGCCAACATGAGGAGAACATGCAAACTCCACACAGAAATGCCAACTGACCCAGCCGAGACTCGAACCAGCGACCTTCTCACTGTAAGGTGACAGTGCTAACCACTGAGCCACCATGTCACCTATTAAACTTTACATGTTTAATAAAACCAAAAATAACATGCAACACTTTGCAGTATAAGGATTAGTTTTGGCATGCTTAGTTAACCGGAAAAATACAGCTCTTTGTCAAAGTTAATACTCCAAAACAGAAAATGTCATTGTATGTTAACTCAAATTGTTAGAGGCATTGCGGTTCACAGGAGCCTCTCCGTTTTCAAATTTTTTGGGGATGTGCTAATATTAGAAGTTTTTGGAACGGGATACATAGCATTTTAACATCTTAAATATTTTAATTGATTTCAGCTTTGGGATACTTTATTTGGGTAGACTGTCAATGGATTCCTTGAAAAGAAAAAAACAAATATATGTACAGAGTCATCCTTGCTTCAAGTAAAAAAGCCATTACTAGATGCTGGTATAAACCTAATCCACCACAAATGCAAGATTTGATTGATGTTTTTAAAAATAGATTAATTATGGAGAAAATTACACAGTATGCACAACCAAATAGATATATTAGTTGACTTATGGTTTAAATGGATTGAGTACATTACTCCCATTCAACCTAATGTTTTTCTTCTATAGAATTGTAATACTTATTTTTACTGGTAATACTGTTTTCATCCCCCCCCCCCCACCCACCTTCCCTTTTTTATTCTTTATTTTCTCTGTTTATTCTCTCACATTTTTATCAGTTTTTATATGTTTTTTTAGCACTTTTATTATTATTATTTTTTACTTGTCTCTTTTTTTTCCTGTTTATGTAAAACACTTTGAATTAACGCTGTGTATGAAATGTGCTATATAAATAAAATTGCCTTGCCTTGCCTATATAGTTTTGACAAAAGGCAAAGGGATATGTTCTGTCGCTGTTATGAAGAAATTTGTGTTTTCTCTTTGGTCCCCAGTATATAAATTATACTGTAAAAGCTGTAAAAGTGGCATGTCTACTGATGCCGTGAAATGTGTTTCTCTGCAATAAAAACTTAATAAAAATAAATCAAAATCAAAAAGTTAATTTCAACAATGAATAAAGCCTTTGATATCAAAATAGTAACAGTAAATATTCAATTGAACTGGGCTGATAGGAACTAAAAATAAACAGCTGTATTTTTATTTACAAATAAGTGTAATAACATAACTAACATTTACCAATATTTTACATTTTTCATTTATAGACGTTTGATTACTCACACAAACACATGCATACAGACACACACACAAATGCATACATTATTTATATTATTTATTTATACATAAATTATATACAGTTGAAGTCAGAATTATCAGACCCTCTGTTTATTTTTGCCCCAATTTCTGTGAAACTGAGAGATTTTTTTAACACATTTTTAAACATAATAGTTTTAATAACTCATCTCTAATAACTGATTTATTTTATCTTTGCCATGACCAGAGTAAATAATATTTGACTAGATATTTTTAAGACACTTCTATAAAGCTTAAAGTGACATTAAAAAGGCTTACCTAGGGTAATTAGGCAAGTTATTGTATAACGATGGTTTGTTATGTAGATTTTTG